GCTTCAGCTTGGATGTGAAGCTCTGTGGTCGACTGAAATAATTGTTTATCATCAGCTCCTTTGAATGCTGTAATTTTTTCTCTCTTACAAGGCCAAAAATACACATGCAAAAAAATACAGAACAAACTGGAACAGATACATAATAATTCAAAAAATATGCTAGCAATTTCTGATCCCTTTCCCCATCTTTTCTTATCACAATATGCTCATGATATCCTGAAATAGACATATGTGCAATATGACGCTTTACACAATGTAACTCATTAGAAACAGCAATTTCTGAGTATTTAAAAGACCTGAATAATAAGAAAACTTCTGCCAGTGTCTTATACGGAATGTCACCCCTAGGAAACAGAAAAACTCTGAGGTCGTCATATGCCTCCTATAGCCCCATGATATAAAAGTGACTCAGTTATGTTCTGTATACCATAGCGATTATTGATCTTTAGTAACGATCTACTTTTGCCATTCCATCTGCCATTATTTTGTGCTGAAGAGAATGTTCTTTACTAGTTTTATGACATAAAAGCAGGTTCAGTATCTTGTTTTCAAATCAATACATCAGTGAAACAACAGGACATTATGAGCACAATGGAAGTAATATTCATAGATTGATGAACTTTCCTACTGGTTATAATTGTTATATGAGGATTTTTTTATTTAATTATTTTTTTCCCCCACTCTAGCCTTCTTGCCTGAATTTCTTTAGTTTCATTCATATCTATGCTTAGAGTGCCTACCAGTCTAGATTGAGTAATGAAAAGTGATGTAAAATCCAACAGACTGAAGAGTTCAGCCACATCTGATACACAAAACATTCAGTAAGTGAGGGTTTGTCTCCTGAATTCAGTGTACTGGAGAAAGTACTTACTGCTTCTAAAAGATATCACAGTGTATCTCTATTTACTATTGGTCCTGTGTAAATGCGTTTGACTGTTATGTTTTTTTTAATCTGAAAAATTTGTTTTTGTGAGTTTGGACTCATTCTATTTACTATCTGATTTTGACAGTAAGAGCAGATGAAAAAAACAAATCAAACCAAAACAAAACAAAAAAAACCCACCAACCAACAAGTAAACCATATTTGAACTTTATTTGTGCACTTCAGTTGTGTTGATATTTTGATTGTAAAACATAACTTCTCATATTTCTGCTGGAAACACCAAAAGGCAGGAACATCAGAAATGTGACAAACTTGAAAACACACAAACATAACATCAGATTATAGTAATATTTAGAAAAATAAGGCCAAAAAATAGCAAATAAAATAAGACCTTTTTAACTTAAAACATATTTATGAAAAATATTTAAGGAAGACAATCAGTTTTTATGATGATAAAAACCCAAACCCCTAACACTACAATATCCATCAGTCTTGTCTTTCTGACATTCAATTCCACTCATGGTAAATTATCCATGATATAGTTTATTCTGCTGCTGCTTTTTTTTTTTTTTTTTTAATAGATAAAAAAGAAAGCATTCAAGCAGTTTTATTTCCTATGACAATATTTTTCCTTAACTGTAAATGAACCTGGCATAAACATTTAACATGTTTTTTGGGGGAAGGGAGGGGAGTGATATAGTTATAGCAGTATATCATGTCATAACATGTATAGCTTGAAGGGCTGACTATTAATATTAGAAGTTTTATAAGCAAGAAATCTACAGACCTGTCAAGAAGATACATATTTTTTTTGCATGACCATGCTGTGTTTTTTTGACCGTTCAGACTTCAAATTTGATGACCATTCAGAAATTATATATGCAAGTTCTGTATAAATCACTACTTGAATGCCTCTGTAAGAGACATAAAGCAAACATACTCTGGAAATTCTTCAAACTCTTATCATGAAAAAAAAAAAAAGTTATTAAAATTCTTAGGCTGAACAGAGAACTTTACTGGGATTAAGTTAATCATATTTGCTTCTTTGTAGGACAAGACAAGAGTCATAGCAATTATACATTAACTTGACATAAAATTGCAATACATTAAAAATCAGAGCACTGTTATCATATGGTATTTAAGTATTCGCACAGATATACATTTCTATTTGTTTAGAAACTGAAATCATTCCACAGCTTCATAAAACTTTGTCCAAAATTTCTGCATGGAATATAGTGCTTTAACACATACTTTCTGACAACAACGAATCATAGAGAAGAGATTATATCTTACTTTTATTCATACTTCCCACTAATGCTGTTCTCCAACATTTTCTTATTCTAATTATAAAAATAAATTCAAGCACTCACACAGTATGTTATGAGTCATTTTTGCTTGATTGAGCTTTACAGTAACTTTTAATGTAAGCACCTCAGCTACAAAAAAATGTTAGGGTATATAGCAGATGTTCCAAAAGTTATGAACTGATTTAGTATCTGTGGGTGCGTATGCTGGGTTGTGAACCGTCTGCATCACTGACAATGTAAAAGTGTCATCAGCATTCAAGTTAGAAGATTAACGATGTCTAAATTAATGACTCAGATAAGAAAAGAATCTGTAGAATAACAAAAAAGAAATTTATCTACCAGTTGTGTATGCTTAGTAGCACTTGTTGAAAGTGCTGAGAGGAACGAGTTTTTGAAATGAGCATGCGCCAGAGCAACACACGGATTTGCTGTCACAAGCATATATAAGGACTTGTTTTTCTAATAAACGTTGGAGCTTGACTGGTAACCATATTGATGTGTGTCTTGTCTCACAGACTCCTCCTGCAACTAAGGGGGTTCCTGCCACAACTGGGGCCCAAATAGGCACCTCCTTTTATCGCTTAAATGCGGAACTCGCTTAAATGCAGATACTCCAAATCATCACCGAAGGTGATACCTGGAGCTTGCAGGTGGGGAAGCAGAAGAGAACAAGACAAAACGCTGGAGCGTGGAGATCCTGCAGGTATGGGAAAAGACATGGCCCTAAAACTGCTGTTAAGTATCCTCTCTATGAGAGGCAAAGAAACAGCTCTTAGAAATCTTAAAAAGCTCACTGAGTGAGCGCATGGAGAACTTGTTTTGCGATAATAAAAAGATAAAATAATGAACATGGCCAGGCTGTTAACACAGAGAATGAGAACACAGAGGGCGAGGATGCATATTTTGAACCTCGGGAGCAAGATTTATATGCTGGGTCTTTTGACTGTGATAATCTTTAAGACCCTGACGCTGTAAATCCTGAAAAAATAATCTGGCCTGTGTCCTCCCTTATCTGGGGATAATCCGTGGGTAAAATTGAGGCGAAAAACCTTGCCATAAGGTGATATGGCCATGGCGAGAAAGATTCTTGCTCCTGTAAGCTATGAGATGGGACATCTGCCACGTTGGGAAGGACTGCATTTTTCTGTTATTAAAGATCTACAGAAAAACATTAATGAAGACGGGTTGCAAAACTCATTTACAGCAGTTGTACTGGAGGCAATCGCTCAGGGATATCAATGGGCCCCATAGAAATTGGCGAGCACTGTTAAGAAAAAAACGGCATTTACGCCGGCACAGTAATCTATCTGGAAAACCGAGCATGTGGATCTCTGTGCTCAGCATTCGCGTCCCCCCCCGCCCCACCTGCAGGCGCGGAGCTGGCGGCGGTGGCCTGGGGCCTCCCCAAGCCCCCCCGCCGTGAAGCGGAGGCCTGCGGCTGAGCCCAGCACTGCGCTCTCGGCACCCCCCACCCCCTGGCAAAAGCGGCAGGTTTTTCACAGAGAAGGTGCTGACACTGTCAGGCAGCAATGGCTTTATATGTTCTTAATGGTTTTTTTTTGTATTTGTAATGTTTGTCATTTTATGTTGTGTGAGTAGTAATTGTAAGGGGCTCCTTTGTGTGGGTGTGTGATTGTTTTGCGTGTGTGAGACGCGGCCCAGCTGAAGCTGCGGATTTCTCTGGCCGCCAGGGAAGCGGCCAGGGAGGAATGAAGGAACGACAGGGTCCTAGTGCACGCCCGCTTGGTCATCAGCACTGCGGTTTGTTTCGGCTCACGGTTTTAAGTGTCTCAAGTGAAATATCTCCTCTAGCAGGAGGCAGTGTTAATTGTGTGTTAATTGTTGTCTTGAATTTAGGTGCATACTCTGCGGGGAGAGTGCACCTCTGAACCATCTGCCTGAGAGGGATATTGTCAAAAAATCATCTACAACCTTACGGGAGTTGTTTGTTTTACCATGGGTCGTCAATGCTGGTTATGAAAAGAAAAATCAAAATTATGGTCTGTACCCCTGTGTTCAGTTACAAAAGGATCAAAAATTGTTCAGCTTGTTAATTTTACTGCAGCTCCCCCTAATAGTATGCCAAGAAGCCGTGACTCAGGATTTCAATCAGCAGGCACCCCTTAAATATTTTTGGACAAAAACGTGACACAAGGTTAACTTCTAGTAAAATGTACTCTCATTAAATTTAAAAAATCTGTTGAGCTGACAAACATCTTAGATACTGCTGCAGATGTGACTATAATATCTGTGAGCAGATTGGCAGTTAGCTCCGGTAACTCAAATGTTTTTCAGGGTTGGTGGTCATGCTGTAGCAATTTAAAGCAAGGATCTCATTCATGTAAGGGGCCCAGAAAACTGGGTAGCAAATATTCATCCATTTATATTGGAGACCCCTATTACTTTCTGGGGTCATGACTGTATGGCTCAGTGGGGAACTCAAATTGGATCAAATTTGTCTTGATCACCACTGTAGCACAACCCACCCCTAAACCCACCCTGAAACTAACCTTGTAAACCGAATCACCTGTGTGACTCTGTCAGTGGCCTTTGCCAAGGAAAAAGTTGTGCCACCTTAATGGTTTCATTCAGGGGCAATTAAATTTCTTATTTTAAAGAAAAGTGGTAAATAGTGACTTTTACATAGTCTCTGACATATTAATGATACTATTGGAGGATAAAAAAAACTTTACAACCATGAATGCCCTCCCCTACAATGATTACCTGAAACTGGCATCTTGTAGTAATTGATCTAAAGGATTGATTCCTTTTATCATTCCCTGGCATCCAAATGATGCACCTAAAATTACTTTTTCTATTCCCACTATTAATATTAGTGAACCTGCAAAACAATACCACTGCGTTATTTTACCATAACACATAAAAATCCCACCAGGTCCCCTAAGCTGTTATATATCATTATATGGATGACATCCGTATAGCAACAAAAACACAGGAGATCTTGAAAAAGGCTCTTGCTTTAACCAGACACTCACTATCTCAAATGGTGTTGCAAATACCATTTCAAAAGGTACATATACCATCATCAGGCAGTACCTGGGCTGAAGAATTTGTGAACAGACTATTGTCCTGCAACAACTTAAACTTAAAACTGATACTAAGACTTTACAAGATTTACAGAAACTGTTAGGAACCATAAATTGCTTACAGCTGTTGTGGGCCTAGCTGATGATGATGATCTGCATAGCTTGTTTGATATTTTATGAAAAGATCCTTCACTGACGTCACCCAGAGTGTTTACAGAGAAAGCAAAACAAAATCTCCACCGTATAGCTAACACCATCTCAAACAGACAAGCATCGCAGGTATACCACATTCCCCCACAGGACAAACCATCATAGAAAGAGCACACCAAACATTGAAAGCACTTTTGCAAAAACAAAAAGGGGGAGAGGTCTTGGCTCCAGGTCAGCCATATGCTCTGCTGTTTCAGTGGAATAAAGAACACATGCATTTTTTTTCACCATAATGCCAGGGCAATACAAAACCAAATTTTTTTTATCGACTTGCCCTGAATACCAGAAAGACTCCATCTTTTCAACAGGGAAGTGGTGTCGACCCTTGGGGACTCACCTCCTCAGAATTCTAACAGTCTGTTGTCATTCACATAGCTGCATTTCAAATGTTAAAATATGTAGATGTGTCTGTTAATACCTTTTCTAGAGCACTGTTTGCATCCTGTCATACAGTGGGGAGTCAAGCATCTGACCTGCATTCCTCATTCACCAGCGGGTCAGGCCATTGTGAAGCATACATCTAGCAAGCTAAAGCATGTATTACAACAACAATAACGATAACAGGAACAACTACAAAAAAAAGGGGCAAGATGCAAGATATCAATCTACACCTCACGAAAGGCTAAATAAGGCATTATATGTCATGAACCTTTTAAACATTTCCTCTGTCTCACAGGTGCCACAAATATTGTGTCATTTCTCATCACAGATACCAGATCAACAAGAAGTCCAGAGCAAGGATCAAGTGTTAACAAAAAAATACTTAGAAAGTAGTAACTGAGAAGGACCATATCCTTTAATAACCTGGGGAAGAGATTATGCTTGTGTCTCCACAGGTCTCAGTCTCCAGTGGTCACTGGCAAGGTGTGTGCAACCATACTGAGGCATGAGAGGCAGCCAGCACTCAGGATCCAGCTGTGGGTGCTGCGGATGCCCCTGTGCGGACAGTTTGTGATCTTTTCAACTGATAATTTAAACAGAATGTCTGCGTAATGTTTGCTACTGCAGCAGAACAAACCACACTACAGTTGCCAATTCTTTTAAGAGAAAATGCTAACAGTAATTGCAACTAATTAATGAAATATATAGGCTTACTAGTCACTAGTGAAAGATGTAGTTTAGATGAAAAGTAATTATTAATAAGGATGAAATGCTGTAAGAATGTGTGTATTCAACTTTCTTTGTTTAGCAATATTAAGAATTAAAAGCTCAAGTGGTTAACCTTATTAGAAACTCCCTTGGTTTTTCCCCCTGGAGTGCTGGCCAGGTTCTGGGCGGAACTCAACAGGAGGATGAGATCAGATGTTCCTGCTCAAAGAAAATTGCCAGTTATTTTGGCCAGTTGATTTAGAGGCTGGACCTGCTTGCAGCGATGTTGGATGCCTCACCTACAGATGGACGCATCATGTAGGATTTCCGATTTGCGAGGAAGGGCACTCTGAATTCTCGCTGCATCCAGGGTTCCCCAGCAATTTTGGATCTGAATGTTAATACCCCATTAATTAAGTGTGCTACTCTGTGTTTTCCTTACTGTTTATTTTGTACTATTTAGTCATATCCGTTATTTATAGGTAGTGAAATTAGCCTACTCTTTTATCTAGTAATTGTAACTGCTGTATTGTTTTAACCTTCTGTGGAACTATTCCAAGTACACTATGCTTTTGAAGTTTGTCTAACCCTTAATTGATACAGCTCTCAAACAAGTCTTGCAGGTGCCATTGCAAATCCAAGAAAGGGGAGATCTGGGAGGCATTGGCCTTACACAGCCTCTGACAAACAGCTAAGCTTTGATGAAGAACAGGCCTCGTAGGATAGATAAGAAACTGCTGAGTTGTGCCAAGGTGGCAAGGAAAAATAAATCAGGACAGCAGGCATTTTGCCTGGGCTTAGCAACTGCTGCTGACCCATCTCAGAACTGTTTGATTGGAGTTAGAACTTGGAGGGTCTCTTCCCCCAGTAGCTGGGAATAGTATGCAAGATCAGGCCTGGGGATGTATATAGTTTGGTGGACAAAAAGCCTATCTGACACATGGTTGGTATAATGAGACAGTCTAGCTAGGATGGCAAAACATGACTCCTTCAGCAGTACAGATAAATGATATTTGGTTTTGTAGTGATACTTACACGATGTGTTTACATCTTGAAGAGAGAAGAGTATTTAATAATGATTCAGTAAAAGGTTACCAATTACTGGATGGTTAAAAGATTTGTTTTTACATGGACTAACAGTTTAAATTGTCATTATAATACTTTTAATGATGTTAAACTGTGTGTGGAAGTGTTTTGAGAATGATGGACTGAGCAATAAAAGGGGTCTGCATTGCTCAAAAACAAAAAGAGGGATTTGTGGAATGGCTGGAAAACAACGGGCACATTATGAGCAATCCAAACCGAGTGGCCTCACTGTAAGAAGAGGCTGTAGCTGTTGTGAAGAACACCTGCAAGGCCAAGGGGCTGAGAAACTGCATATGTAGCAAAAAGATAAGGAAGCTGAACTGTGGAAAACAAGATGTTTGCCTGGCAGCAGAGCGGCGCATGGACACCACACTGGGACCAATCACAGAGTGTAAAAGGGTGCATGGACAAGTAGCTTTAGCCTATTAGCAATCAAGTAGCTTGCACATGTACTATATGGTGGTCTATAAATTGCTGTGTATCCTTTAATAAAATAGCATTGTGGAGGTCTGGAGAGATTGTCACTATATCTTGCTTAGCCCCCGGGAGTAGGGGTTATAAAAGCCTTATCCACCTTGAACAAAATAGCCTGTTGGAGTGTAAAAAAAATTAACATCTAATATAGTAAGTAATTTGTTGACAGATGAAGGTAGTATAAAGCACGCTGTTTTGCAGAATAAAGCAACTATAGATTTGTCTTACTGGCACCAGAATATGGATATGAAGAATTTAAGGGTGTGTGCTGTGTGAATCTTTCTGATCACTCTCAATTTATCTCTAGGCATTGTTAATAACTGCAAGACAATATACATAGTGGGATTATTGCTGTTTTGTGTGGTAAATAGGATAGAGGCCTTAATAAAAAGAAAAGGGGGAAATGTGGGTGTGTATGCCGGGTCACAAACCGTCTACATCACTGACAATATAAAAGTGTCATCAGCATTCAAGTTAGAAGATTAACGATGTCTAAATTAATGACGCACTTGTGTTAGAAGACTAACAGCGTCTAGATTAACGATGGCTAAAAGCAAAAGTGGTTTTGCTCATTAGGGAAGCAACAGATAAGAAAGAAATCTGTAGAATAACAGAGCAGAAATCTACCAATTGTGTACGCTTAGTAGCGCTTGTTGAAAGTGCTGAGAGGAACGAGTTTTTGAAATGAGCATGCGCCAGAGCAACACACAGATCTGCTGTCACAAACATATATAAGGACTTATTTTGGTAATAAACGTTGGAGCTTGACTGTTAACCATATTGATGTGTGTCTTGTCTCACAGCCTCATCCTGCAAATAAGGGGGTTCCTGCTACAAGTATTGTTTTTCATTCAACATTTTTGAATATACAAAAGTTGATAATTTCATAGTATTTCTGCCATATTTTTTTTTCCTAATTTATCAGTTTCCCCTCATTTTAGAACACAACACAAATACGTATTGTCACAAACTGTTCATAAACAAGAAACTGCTCATAAAGCCGATGTCTCAAACAACTTGAGGAATGCTCTGTTGGGGAAAAGTGGAGCAAGCACTGTAGAGGCGTAATGGTGGGCCATTTCTGTCCCACTCCCTTCCGTGGTTGCCCATAGACAGAACTTGCCAAACTGTGCATGTATAAGCCAGACAAAAGAACCTTGTGGAACAACCTATTGCACATACATAAGAAAAACGATATCAAGGCAATACCCCACGTGTGTCTTTGTCAACCCACCACATACAGACCAAGCTGGGCTTACTGTGTGACAACCCAGAATCTAAGATTAGTGATACCCCTTTTCCTATCCCTCCCTCCTCTCTTTTCTCTTTCTTCTTTTTGCTCTCTCTCTTTTTCTTACATATATTAATGTATATGTTTTGTACAAATTGAATTGAGATTGGTTGATCATTAACGGGTTATTAGGAAAATAGTGTAATTGCCAAAATGCCTTTATTCCTTCCCTGATTGTTATCTGTTGATTGCTGCCAAATTGTCTTCATACAGTCACTAAAGTGATCAGTTAATAAAGTCAGCGACACAGTTGTTTCTTTGTAGTGACTCGGCCTGCCCTATGGCTCTGCTGAGCAGAAATTGTATCTCCTACCTGCACACAGGCTCTTGGGAAATTCAGAAGATTCACCCCCCTTGTAACCTACCTTGTGGGATGAGATACATATAATACAGATTTATTTTAATAATCACTCTAACTATTCCCTATACACACAAAAATATATCTCTCCTTTTCTTGAACAGAAATAATGTTCCTAAACATTTGATTAATACAGTACCTACCCACCTACCTGCTCTCTTCTCTTTGCTAGACAATAATGATATGCTATCATCCACTATGTATAGCTACATTATGTACAAATTCATATAGCTTGTTTAGTTCCTTTTCAGATATTATTTTCAGTCCTGATATAAAGTTTTCATGTCAGCCAAAAAGAAGCAAATAGCTTCAAGTGAAGCCCAGAGGAAAAGCCTGTTTGTGAATCTTAACCGCATGTTAGCTGAGGTGTATCCAGTCTTTCACTTTTGAAATAACTAAAAGACATTTGAGTTTCCATCTCCAACACATTGTTTATTTGTTAAATGCAGAAACAACGATCAGCCCACAGTGGAATAATTCAAACTGTATTTATTGCTAAGGTCCTATAAACTGTCATAATTGGAACTATGAACCTGCAGAGACTCTTGTTAGAGTTTAATGGACTGGCAAGGTCAGCCCATCTTTCATAGTGAAAATGAAAGTGCTGTCTAGGAGTTTAATGAGCACAATGGCATTTCTGCATGCCCCCAGAAATTCCTGAAGTGCATCTGGATCTGGTTTAACTTGTAATACTGAGGCTGACTTTCCCTTTTATTCCTGTCTCATGCTTTTTTGTTTTTTCTTTCTGAGGGCAAGTTTGTTTGTATACATCTTAAGAGTAGGTGTACTGGTTTAGGGAGAGAAGTGGGAAGCTTTTCCTTGAAAATTGGTTTTAATAGCCTCACTACCTCTGAAGAAGATTTAAATCTAATT